CTGACCTTTTGATTAGCAGTGGAGTGCTTAACTGTTGTGCCACCAGAGCTCCTAGAATGATGATTAGCATACAGGCAGGAATTCCCACTCTATTTACTTCACCTCTCCAAACCATAACTTCCCACTCAATCCTGTTTATTATAGAATCCTAATCTAAATGAATAGTTTCTTTTAGAAGGATCAGCATGAAGCTCGTTCCTATGAGATGGAGGTTAAAGATGTCCCAAATGTCCAACTTTTCCAAACTGTTACACTACTCCATCATCTCTAACAGCAACTACTACTCCCTTCAGTACTCTCCCTCCCGTCTTTGGGTTCCATAATTTGCTGCAACATCTCACAGAACTCACGAACTGTCAAGGAAATGGCTCACATGGTTGCAGAGGCTGGCAAGTCCCAAATCCGTGGGTCAGGCATCAAGCTGGAGGCTTCTCTTGACTCACGTGGTTGCAGGGGCTGATGAACTCAAATCAACAGGTAAGATGACAGACTGCTGGCTCGCAAGGCTGCTGAAGCTGGCAGATCAGGTCAGACAATAGGCTGCTGGCTCAAGTTCCAAGAACCGGAGGTCAGAAGATGACAAGCCGGATGCAGGATCCACAGCAAGAGAGTGAACTTTGCCAGAACATTCATATATATTGGATGCGGACCATACCCTCAAGGAAACCCGCCTTACTTGAGCAAGGCAATGCAAGGATGTGACTTGAATAATTGTAGTAAAGGTGATAACTGGTGTAAGGGTGGTGACTTGAATCACATTCTCTAACAAGGTAGTGACTCAAGATACATCCCACCCTAATCCTGCCTCATTAAAACAATGGACAAATCACTCCCAAACAGGACCATAACCACAGGCATAGAGGCGAGGATTTACAACACATCACAAAACGGAGGATCATTACATCAGACCACAAAATGGAGGATGACTACATCATTATATAACTGCCAAACCATTGAAAATCATGGCTCAGCCAAGCTGTCACATTAACCTTAACCATCACAGGTTCCATACACCTTATCTGCATTAGCAGCAAGCTGTCCAATCCCCTTGGTGGGCCACAAGTACCTTATTTGCATAGTCCCACCCAATCATTGTGTCACAAAGCTTATGGCTAGAAAGGCCATATTATGTAACTCACTGCACCGCACAATCCTATAGATTTTCAATTAGACTGCTCTTCGCCTCTCCAAAGTATGTAAGAAATGACTCAATCCTTAACCCTATGACTTTTCATCTACATCCCCCGTACCACTCGTTCCCCTCACAGCCTGTGTACACCTTCTCACTGGGAAAGGAAGGAATCTCCACTGCTTGGGTCCCTCCCATTCCCACCACAGACTCAGGGTACCCAGTGAGGGTCTACCTGCTCTGAGTTCAGACCCACTCAGGGAAAGGGCATTCATCTGACCCACACCCTCCACTACTCTAGGCCTCTCCAGGACTGCTGATCCAGATTTCAGTTGCTTTCTTCCCACCAAATCTCTCACACCAAAGCCCCAAGGTTACCTTTCCTTCTGTGCCTTTCATGTCTCCATTCTCCTAAAATATACAAGACAGTTACACTGATCAGACCTCAGTCCTAGTCCCTACCTCCACAAGAGGGTATTTTGTGAAATCCGTCACTGTCCCAAACTGACCACTTAATCCAGGCAGCAAGAACCAGGGCAAAGCCTGGCTCTATTACGACCTGTTTAGTGTACCACGCATGGTACTCTGCCTTCAAGGAAACTTCTAGTAAGAAAGATTAGATTTTAATTCACCAGCATCTCTAATTTTCCTGATTCCAAGTGAAGAATAATTGTCCTTTGCCTGGCCTTCTTTTGGAGAACTTTTCTGAGTGTTTTTACCACTTTAATTAGGGATTCTAAACATTTATCGAATATAGGAATGTCTAACATTCATTCCTGTACTTCAGCAAATGAGAAATTCTTCCATACAACCAGAGACAAAGGACCAACCCAAGAGACCCAGAACTTTCTGTGGGCATCAGACAGCCATTGTGCATTTGTGAACCAAGTGCTTCTCCAGTAACTGGATTCCTGTGCTCCTCACCTCAACTTCTTCATAACCTAAACCACAAAGCTTCTGATTTCCTTTTCTCACCTGTTCCTCAACCAGAGCCACGGCTTCCTCACCATTTTCTGGATGCTGCTCCCTCACCCAGGTCTGGACCTCCTCTGGCAAGATGGTCAGAAAGTGCTCCAAAACCAACAGCTCCAGGATTTGCTTTTTTGAGTGTGTCTTAGGCCTCAGCCACTGACAGCAGAATTCCCAGTTTGCTAAAAGCCTCATGGGGCCCAGCTACCAACTGGTAGCTAGCAGAACTGCCTCATGCGCTGGCAGGAGGCCTCAAGAGTCAGTGCTGTTATGAAGAATTGTTTTCTGACCCTCTGTGGAGTCCTTGCTTGCAGCTGGGTGTGCTGGGGACCCATTGCTGCAGCCATCATTGCTTCAAAGAACTGGCTCGCTCTGGCTGCTACTTCTTCTACCCTGGGATTACATTCCATCTCCTCTTATCACTAGGAAGCCATGTCCTCCTGGATACCAATGAAGGGAGTGTCTTTCTGGAATCAGAGGGACATGAGGGTATCATAGACGTGCAGAGACTCATTGTTGAAAGAAAAGGCTCAACTTTGAAGGAAGGCTGAAGAGGATGGAATAAGACAGAATGAAACTATCCCAAACGTCCTTCACTCTGCTTCTTTGGGTTCATTTTATTTCACTTCCTTACTCCCTCCACAAACCCAAGCCAAGGATCCAAACCACTAGAAGTATCAAAACAGTTTTCTCCCTAGCCAAATTCCTATATCTGCCGGGGGATTATCCAGACTCCTCCTCACAATGTAGTCCGGCTGTTCCCTCTGTTGTTCCCTGCATGCCTGGGTCTCTTCCCTGCCCTCCCCTCCCCTCAAAGAGCCTGAACCCACCTTTCCAGTTTCCACCTTCTCTAAAAGGAGAGGACTAATCTGTGTGTGCCTCTTGATTAATCTCTTCATCACTACTACAACCCCTCTACTACCACCAACCCCACCATCACAAACACATACAAGGTGGATACTAAGTGATCGTTCCGGTTTGTTGTCTTTTTATTTTCCATCATTCCTCCCCACTTCTTCTGATAGCAACATCTTCCCTTGTGAAAGAGTGGCGTTGTTAATAATACCCTCCCCCCCCCACCCCAGGAGTGGGCACAAGACAAAAACTGGGCCTACTGGAATTCTTCTGTGAGCTTTAGCATACAACGGGGAGGAAAAACTCTGGATTTCCTGGGAAATTTGGAGGTTGTAAGACTGGAGTTGTCTGCAGCCATGTCCCACTCTCCAGTCCACTCCTCCACCAAAGGTGGGGAGCCTATTTACAAGAGGAGACCAATATGCCAGGGGTCTTGACATCTCTGGATCCCTGAGGACAGTTTATGTAAGCCAATATTTTTTAGTTTGAGTTGGATTTCTATTACTTAAAATAAAAAGATTAAAACAGATACAATCATAATGGGCAAGACAGTACTCTCTTTAAATTTTACATAGGAGCTGTTACATCATCACTTAGTAGTATTAAAATGGATTGGAATGCCTTTCTTCCAGAGAACTTGAAGTGCCTTCGCTTGTATTCTCTCTCTACTTCACTGCAGCACGCAGGGGCTAGAGACACAGAAATCAAAGGCATTACTGTTAGCACCACTTTTTAACAAAAGGCAAGAAACTGCCACAGAGCAGTTGAGTGTCTGCCCAGCATCACAGGGCATGCTACTAAGCAACAGGCCCCTGACTAAACCTGCCCCTTGCCTCCATATTTTCTTACAGCCAGTAACTTATCTGGATAAAGATATAACCGAATAAATTTTATTTGAGTTTCATGTGAGCTCTTGTGGCACAGTGGTTAAAGAGCTCGGCTGCTAACGGAAAAGTTAGCAGTTCCAACCCACCGCGCGGGAGAAAGATGTGGCAGTTTGCTTCCTAAAGATTTACGGCCTTGGAATCCCTATGGGGCTGTTCTCTGCCCTATAGGGCCGCTCTGAGTTGGAATCGATTTGATTGCAATGGGTTTGCGTTTTTTGGGTTCGTTTCATGCAGATGGCGGGGTCTGCACTTCTCTTGCCCTATACCTCAGATCCCGTTCACAATTAAATTAAAAAATACGGCTCTTTCAGAAATTGGTTCCACTCTAGCGATGAACCCAAACGTGGAGATTAATGAAGATCGAGTGGGGAGTTGGCCAGACTCACTTTTCACTCCGCCAGTGTTTACAGAGTACCTACTATGCACTCAGCGCCAGGTGAGGTGGAGTGAAAAAAAACCCTAAGGCTCCCCACTTCAGCGGAAAGGGGATGAGATGAGTAGGGTCACAGCTAAGAGTCCGGGCGCCGACTTCGGGGTGAGCGGACAAGGAGGGGAGCTGCCCTGGGCCGGCTCAGGGCGCTAGGCGAGGGGATGGCGCTCGGGCAAGTGACCGCGGAGAGTCCAAAGGTGCGTTCGGGAGAGCATCCTTCCGCCTGGGGTAGCCCCAAGCGAGGAAAAGCGCCTGACCCGACCTCCACTGAGAAGCCTCCCAGCGGCGAGGAGCTCCCAGGCTGGCGTGGGGTCTAGCCTCGAGCCCTCCCCGCCGCGAGAAAGCGAAGGACTCACCAGACCAAACTTCCCCCCAACTCCCTCAACCACTGGCCGGAAGTTGGCGCAGCAAGCCCGACGCTAGTCTGCCCACTACGCACGCGCGCAAGCCGCCCCGCCGGACTACAATTCCCGGGGTGCATGCGAAGGCTGGGTGCCGCCCCTCTCCACCCGCCGGCATCGACAGACCCAGCAGCCAATAGACGAAGGAGACCGCCCGTAAGATAAGCCAATCCCTCTGGAGGGGAGGCGCGCCCTACCACCGGGTAGTTCCCAGGCTGCTCTGGTAGTCTCTGTGACTAACGGCTTTGTCTCCGCCCCCGGCGCTTGCTCCTGGCTTCCGGGTCCCCGGTCTTAGAGAGGTGAGTCGGCTTCAGGTGGGCGCAAGTTTTTGTGGTATCGCAGGCGTCAGCTGATGCCGGCCCTGGCCAAGTAGTTGAACTACTCGCCGGGCTGCCATAGCTACGCCAAGCCCGGGGTCAGGTGGGGCGCGGAGCCCGAGCCGGGCGCCCACGGAGGCCGGAGCTGCTGGGCCTGCGGAACATCCAGAGCCGGCAGCCGCTGCGCCTCTTGTTCAACTTTGCCGGCGAGCAGGAGTTTCACAGCTAATTTCAACCCGGGGATTGCGATGTTGACCCTCCTTGGTTTTACTTGTTAGCTCCCAGCGAGATGCTCGAGGTCAGTTTAAGCCAGGATGCTGGAGAGTTGGTGCAGGCTATCTGTATAACGAATTGAACTTTTCCAAGGGATTACTCTGTCAAGCCCAGAGATCATAGTGCTCATTTCCTCTGACACTGCTTGTACTTGTTACTGAAATAAAAGCAGTATTTTTCCCCCATTTTCCTTTCAGGACGTGTGACTTTTTTTCTTTGAAAGACAGTTCAAGAATCTGGTGGAAAGACAAGCTCTTCCGACTTTCAAGCCCCGTGCTGTCATCAGAAGTTTGGGGTAAACGCTGGGAAATGAGAAGGCCCTGTCTCTGCATTCTGCCCTCTGACTGGGCGCTCCCCTCCTCCTCAAAGGAGCGTCTTTTCTAGGTGTCAAGATAGCATTCAGAAAGGCTTCTCCAGGGTCATGAACCAGGACATCTAAGCTGTTTCCAAGGAGAGAGGTCTCTCGAATCCCACAATGGCAGCTAAAATGGAGATAACTTTGAGCTTGCAACCCCACTCTCCGGATTCCCCCAAACAAGAGAGACACATAATAGCAAAGCTCGAAGAGAGACAGGAACCTGCTCTGCACAATAACCGCCGGGATCCAGAGCTCTCCCGACAACGCTTTAGACAGCTTTGTTATCAAGAGTTGTCTGGACCCAAAGAGGCGCTCTGCCGCCTTGGACAGCTCTGCCGGGAGTGGCTGCAGCCCGAGCTGCACACGAAGGAGCAGATCCTGGAGCTGCTGGTGCTGGAACAGTTCCTGACCATCCTGCCCCCAGAGATCCAGACTTGGGTCAGGAAAAGATGTCCAGTGAACAGCAAGGAGATTGTGAACCTGGTGGAAGAGTTTCACAGAGCCTCCAAGAGACCAAAGCAGTGGGTAAGGAAGGTCCCCTCTCCTGTTCCCCTTGCATCTCTTATTCATCTGGATGGTGTTTGGTCTCTGGATCCCCCCTCACCCCTTCCCAGTTAGACACAATCCAGAAATGGACTTGATGGCTTCTAAAGTTACTCCACCTCTGCACCTCTGTCTGCAAACCCCCAGCAAGGTGTGACAGGTTTTCAGCAAACCCAGCTACTGGCTCTCCAGTGAGGAAGTGGAGGCCTCATCAAGGCTCTTGTGTTCCTTGAAGGGCCTCATGTCCCCAGAAGATTTAAGGTTCTTGAATCTCTGCTGTCAGCTCTGCCCCCAATTCCTCTTGAAGTTTTCCTACAATCAGAGTTCTTAGCCTTTAGATCAGGAAGTTACAGCTTAATTACCAGTGTTGCTATCCCTTCTCACCTGCACCCCCCAAGTCAGACCCAAGTGAAGGCCTAGGCAGGAAGTAAACAACCATATGCTCTGGAAAACGGGAGCGGTTAGGGAATGGAGGTGGGGCATTCTTCTTCGAGTCCTGTTACTGCTGGGATCTCCTTACCAGGACAGCCTTTGGAAGAACAATTTATTAGATAAGTGGTTTTTAATGGCCCGTCATCATACTAGTTCCCATTCCTACAGGGTGGGAGAGAGAACACAGGCTGGAAATACAATGTGCCAGTGTCATAACTGACCCTGATATTTTTGTTCCAGCTCTTCTCTGATGCTGTAACTCCAGGCAGTGAGGAAGGACCAAGCTTTAGGGGTAGCCACTCAGGAAACACTGTATCTGCTGATTTATAGCAGCCTCATTCTTGGCATTCTGCATGCTCTTCATTTTGCTTCCTTTGAGGATTTCAGTGGTCTCTATCAAAGTTGACCTCCAGGCTGGTACCAGGAATTCCCAAGGTAGCAGGGTCATTATAGAGCATTGAGAGGTAAGGCTGCCTTCAGTCAGTCCTTGGCCTGAGCTTTCATGGACACGATGGGGTTTGTCCCTAGGTGGCCGTCTGTATGCAGGGGCAGAAGGTGCTCTTGGAGAAAACTGGAGCTCAGCTTGGAGAACAGGAACTGCCAGACTTTCTGGAGGAGTCTTCCCAGGCAGAACCTCAGGACCAGCTGAGCCACCATCATGGAGAGAAATATCACCTTCTCCAGGAACCAACCCTTAAACTGGCTGGGACAGGTAAACACTCTGTACCGCTTCCCTCCTTTTTATCAGCCTTTGTCTCCATCAAAGCATCTCATGGTCCTCAAAAGGCATAGTCTGTCTGTGTGTGTGTGTTAATGTCTGTAATCATAGATCTGTAATCATAGGTCTTTATTTTCCAAAAACCCTCACTAATTAGAATGGTGGTGAGACTATATGTTTCTCATTTTCTATTAACGAATATTTGACAATCAAATGTACAACAGGATTATTCTAGTGCCTACTTTTCTGTTCCTTTCAAAGCTTCTTGTAGTGAAGACAGATCCAAATATGAGCAGTATGATCACCGGTGAACTTCATCCAAGCTGTGGCTGAGTTTTAGCACCTAAAATAGCCCGATGGTTAGAAGGGGCCTAAACAATATTTCTTTTAGAGAAAAAGCTTATACTCCCTATTATTTTCTGCACCTCCTTCTCTTCTCTGACATTGTTTATGCTTTAAACCCCATATTTGTTTTCCTGTATTTCCCTGTTGTTAATGGTAGTGTGCAGATGTAAATGCTGGCCCCATTCTGCACAATCCTATGATCCCTAAGTGTGAATGAAAGTGACAGTTCGGTCAGTCTTGGTCCTGTAAATACAGGATACGGTCAGCAAGTTAGAGAAGAGGTTTACAAGACTACAGCCTTGTTTCCTTATAAGGTGTTACAATCAGTGAAACATTTTGGTTTGATTATTCTTGGAATTCAGGAAAAGGATGAGACCTGGGGCATCAGTAAAAAACATTAGGACTCTTGACTGAGGTCCCTGTCCCATAAGCTATGACTGTCATGGTCCTAAAGAAAGTGAACCACACACACTCACTTCTGCCTCAGCAGAGACAGCTGGGTATGTGTGTCCATGTCCATCTCCTTTCATTTGATCCCTGAGAGGGTAGATTACCTTGTTCCTCATCCCCCAGATCTACCAGATCTTCCTCCAGAGTGCACTGTCCAGTACAGTAGCCACTAGCCACGCGTGGCTATTTAAATATTTTGTAGTGAGATATAAATCACTATAAAATTCACTCTTTTAAAGTGTATAATTTAGTGGGTTTTAGTATATTCACAGAGTTGTGCAAACATCACTACTAATTCCAGAACATTTTTATCACCCCCAAAAGAAACCCATACCCATTAGCAGTCACTCTGCATTCCCCCCTTCCTGAAGCTCCTGGCAACCACTAATCTACTTTCCATGGATGTGCCTATTCTAGGCATTTCATATAAGTGAATCATACAGTATGTGATCTTTTGTGATTGGCTTCTTTTATGTAGCATAATATTTTCAATATTTTCATGTTGTAGCCTGAATTAGTACTTCATTCATTTTTATTATTCTGCTTTATGAATACACTATATTTTGTTTATCCATTCATCAGTTGGTGGACTCTTGGCGTGTTTTCAGTTTGGGGCTATTAAGAATAATGCTACTGTGAACATTTTTGTATAGGGTTTCTTTGTTTTTTTAATTGTTGTGAAAATGTACATAACAAAAAACACACCATCTCAACAATTTCTACATGTACAATTCAGTAATGTTGATTACATTCTTCAAATTGTACAACCATTCTCATTATCCTTTTCCAGATTATTTTACCACCATTAACATAACCTCAGTACCCTCGAAGCAAACATTCCCTCTTTCTCCCTCCCTCTCACCTCTGGTAACAGCTAATAATGTTGGGTTTCTATATATTTGCTTCTTTCATAAAAGTGAGATCATAAAACATTTGTCCTTTATGGCTGACTTATTTTGCTAAGCATTATATTGTCAGGGTCCATCCATATTGTGGCATGCATCAGGACTTCATTTCTCTTTATGGCTGAGTAGTAGTCTGTTGCATGTATATACCACATTGTGTTTATCCATTTATCTGTTAATGGACATTTTAGTTGTTTCCACCTTTTGGTTACTGTGAAAAGTACTGCAGTTAACATCAGTGTACAGATTTTTGTTTGTGTTCCTGCTTTCACTTATTCTGGGTATATACCTAGAATTGGGGTTGCTAGGTCATACGGTAGTTCTATGTTCAACTTTTTGAGGAACTTCAAAACTTCCACAGTGGCTGTAGTGTATAGGTTTATGAATGAGCATAAGTTTTCATTTCTCTTGGGTATGTGCCTATGAGTGGAATTGCTGAGTCATATGGTAATTCTACATTTAACTTTTGGAGCAACTGCCAAACTGTTTTCAAAGTGGCTGCACCATTTTACATCCCTATCGGCAATGTACAAGGATTCCAATTTCTCTGCATTCTCGCCAACACTTGCTATTGTCCATCTTTTTTATTATAGCCATTTCAGTGCGTGCGAAATGTGGTATCTCATTGTGGTTTTGATTTGTATTCCCCTAATGACTAATGATGTTGAGTACCTTTTCATTGCTTATTGGCCATTTATATATCTTCTTCGGAGAAATGTCTATTCATGTCCTTTACCAATTTTTAAATTGGGTTGTTTGTCTGTTTGTTGTTGAATTGTAAGAGTTCTTTATATACTGTCTACTAGACCCTTATCAGATACATAATTTTCAAACATTTTCTCCCATTCTGTAGACTATCTTTTCACTTTCTTAGTAGTGTCCATTGATGCACAATAGTTTCAGTTTTGATGAAGTCCAGCTTATCTATTTTTTCTTTGATTATTGTGGTTTTGGTGTCATGTTTAAAAAAAAAATTGCCTAATCCAATGTCAGGAAGATTTGCACCTGTGTTTTCTTCTCAAAGTTTTATAGGTTTAACTCATATTTGGCATAGTTAAGTGCTTGACTACTAGCCAAAAGGTTGGTGGTTTGAACCCACCTAGAGGTACCTCGGGGGCCTGGTGGCACAGTGGTTAAGAGCTTGGCTGCCAACCAAAAGTTCAGCATTTCGAAACCACCAGCCACCCCTCGGAAACCCTATGGAACAGTTCTACGCTGTCCTTTAGGGTCACTGTGAGTCGGAATCTACTCAATGGCAACAGGTTTGGTTTTTTTTTTTTTTTTTTTTTTTGGTTTAGAGGCACCTCGGAAGACAGGCCTGGAGATCTGCTTCCGAAAGGTGACAGCCTTGAAAATCCTATGGAGCACAATTCTACTCTGACAAACATGGAGTCACCATGAGTTGGAATCTATCTGACAGCAACTAACAGCAGCAACTCTTACATTTAGGTCTTTAATCCATTTTGAGTTAATTTTTGTATATGGTGTGAGGTAGGGATTGAAATTCATTCTTTTGCATGTGACTGTTCAGTTGTCACCATTGAATTATCTTGGCATCCTTGTCAAAAACTAATTGACCATAAATGTATGAGTTGGCTATTTAATTAAAATCAAATAAAAATTAAAATTCAGATCCTCAGTCACACTAGCCACATTTCAAGTACTCCATTATCATATATGGCTAATAGCTACTATAGTGAACTGCACACACATATATACACATGCACACACATTTTCCACATTGCAAGAACCCCTACTGGACAGTGCTGTTGTAGATCTTCCACTTGGTGATCCTCAATCCTGGAAGTCACAAGTTGGGGAATTTCTGTAATTAGGATACATGTCTAGCCCGTATTCTAGTTTCCAAACACATATGACGTCAATTTTGTAATGAACAGAAACACTAGATTTACCATCCTTTGAAGAGAAGATGGTTGTCAATCAGTGTCCATGGAAGTGATGGGTATTTGTTGAAATAGCTCAGGCACAAAATTTGAAGTTTTTAAATTTCAGCTCTTCTTCCATTCATTCACTGACACTCTGTTCTGATGGGTTTTCTTTTCTGTGTTCCTCCTTTCTTAAACTTTTCCCTAAAGGTAGGAAGGAGGGAGGAGGTTGGAAAACTTGGTTTCTAACTTTAATATAAATCAGAATCACCCCAGGAGCTTGTTAACTGTGTAGATTTCCAGGCCCCACCCCAAGAAATTCTGGAGGAGGGGTGGGGAGCCCGCTTGTTTAACAAGTACCCCAGTTGAGTCTAATGCAAATGACCAGTAGAGGATCTGTGAGAAACCTTGCAGTATATTTCATGACTCATTTGCTGAGGTTCTTCCTTCAAAGTCCAGAAAATAGAACATATTCTTTCTAATTATAGAGGCCACCAGAATGAGAAGTGACAACAAGGAAAATCCACAACAGGAAGGGACTAAAGGAGCAAAGCCTTGTGCAGTGTCAGCTGACAGATCCAAAGGGAATGGTCTGCAGAGTCCTGAACATACAGCGGTGAATATGAGTGAACCCTGGTTGTCACCGCGACAGGTCAGCCCCCCAAATGCCCAAAAGCCATTCACTCACCACCAGAGACATTGTAGACAACTGGAATACATTAGCAGCCCCCTAAAAAGCCACCTGCTGAGGGACGTGGAGAAAAGCAATCATTTGGAACGTCTTGGGCACCCAAAGAAATCTTATAAATGTGATCACTGTGGGAAAAGCTTCTCATTTAATTCAGAGTTGGAAAGACACAAGAGAGTCCACACAGGGGAGAGACCCTACACGTGTGAAGTATGTGGAAACTGCTTTGGGCGGCAGTCAACCCTGCAACTGCATCAGAGAATCCACACTGGAGAGAAACCATATCATTGTAACCTGTGTGGGAAAAGCTTTCGCCAGAACTCAAACCTTCGCAAGCATCAAAGTCTCCACCATGGAGAATAAAAGGAGAGCTTCATTCTTTATGTTCAGAAGGAAGGTATTTGTACTTCTCCTTCCCCTTACTTGCATGTAAATCACAAAGACTTAACAAGGAAAGGAAAAGGTCCCTGAGGAAGTGATGGTGCGCATTTGGCTGGTGTGAGGAGTCCCAGAAGAGGCTGATGAGGGACGTGCCCATAGACAGTGTCAAGGGTGAAAAAAATGGCAGATCTGGGCATTGGTCAAGGAGAACTGCAGTCACTGTTGGAGAACAGGGAGTAAATACTGAGGGAGAGACAGGATGATCCTGCTTCCCTTATTTTGAAATGTTCTATCGCTTTATCCTATAAAATAGGTTAAAGGATAAATTCTACATTTAGTTGTACATTTGTTGTCACACCAATCTTTATCATGCTCAAACATTTCTTTAATAAACATGAGTGATCCACCAGCATTTCAAGGCAAAAATTCATTGGAATGTAAACCCCCTGATACTCCATCTGTAATTCCTGGCTCTTCATAACAAAGGATTGCATTAAGTGAGAATGTGTCATGTTTGTGTTTCCAAATAACTAAACGATGGATTTATAAAAAGAAAAATACATGTGTGTATGTATATATATATGTATGTGTACATTATTTTCTTATATATATGATCCTTTTTATATCAAAGCATCTTTGATTTAGAGAAAGTAAGTCCACATAGCAACCCCAGCCAAGAGACAGAGAAACGCTATCGAGAGGTGAGAAACCCTACCCTATACTATGAAAAGATTGTTAAGGACAGGAACCTTGTTTTTCCATCATTGTAGCTTTTGGACTTAGCCCAAGAGAAGTAGGTGTTCAGTAATTAGTTAATTGAGGACCCTACTTTCCCCGCCAGGCCCATTTCTGCCTGAATTAAGAGATCCTGTTGAATGCAGCAGTCCAAAACCTTTGCCTTTTGGGCAGAGCCTTAATGAAAGTCCAGTGGCCTTCCTCATAGTTTTTGGTGGTCCTTTAGGGCCTAATCCTAGATGCCCTTCCTAACCACTATGTTAGACAATTCATGTCTATCTGAAATCTCCCCAAAGGGAGGGAACATAAATTTTTATTTTTCTTATTTATAAGGGTTAGAGATTGGAACTCTTCCTGAAGTTAAGAGTTCTGCTTCCACGGTGTTTTGAAGTTCTTGCAAAGGAATACTCTTCTTGAGTGTTTTCTCCTGATTACAAAATCAGTATATGCTCATTGTTGAATCTTACTGTTGTTGGGTACTTGTTCAACTCTGGACCTTGAATAAATGTGACAAAATCACCACTCCAGACCTGCAGAAAAGGTTTTCAAGTGTGTGACACTGCCTCCCCTCCCCCAATGTGGAGTTAACTTTGGCAGATAGAGGGCTCAATTCCAGGCCAAGTAGGGCCAGTAAGGAAGTAGGCCCCTGGGTGCTCAGCCACATTTGCAGGTTTGCACTCACTTCTTCAATTGTAGGGGATCCCCCGCATTCCCTTTGCCCATGCCGGGTTCCACTGGAGGGCGTCAGCATGGAATGCTGACCTGGTTTGAAATCAGCTATCACATGCAGCACCCCAATATAAGAATAATCTTTCTTTCATGTGTAGCCCTTACCTATGGAGATTCTGTGATCTTTTCTGGACCTTGCTCAGTACTTACCTTTGTGGAGATATGATTCCTGCTCAGGTTATCTGGTCCCTGGGGTGCCCTCGGGCAGATGTTGAGGAGAGGGTAAGCCTCAGTGGATAGGTGGGAAATCTGGACCTCACAGATTTCTCTGAAACACATTTTCTGTCCATAGTGGATAAGTGCTTTGTAAATCTGTCCCTTAACCATTATCATTACCATCAAAATTAACAATAACTCCCAAGTACCATCCAATAGTGTTGAAATTTTTCCCAATTGTTTCTAAAACAAAAATGCTACTTTTTGCAGCTTTACTGAGGTGTATTTCACATATAAAAATTCATCCATTTAAAATGTACAGTTCAGTGGTGTTAGTATATTCACAGAGATGTGTAACGATCAGCATAATCTAATTTTGGAGTATTTTCCATAGCCCAGAAAGAAACCTCATAATCATGAGCAGTCACTCTTCATTCCTGGCTATCCTCAACACCCCCCTTTTTTCACTGAGCATAATGTTTTCTCAAAGTTTAGTCATGTTGTAGCCTGTATCAGTACTTTATTCTTTTTATTGCCAAATTATATACTATTGAATGGATATACCACATTTTGTTTAGCTATTCATCAGCTGATGGACATCTGGGTTTCCACTTTTTGGCTATTATGAATAATGCTGCTATAAATACTGTTGTACAAGTTTTTGTGTGGACATGAGTTTTCATTTCCCTTGGGTATATACCTAGAAATGGAATTGCTACGTCATATGGTAACTGTTTAACTTTCTGAGGCACTACCAGACTGTTTTCCAAAGTGGCTGCACCATTTTACATTCCCACCATCAGGATATGAGGGTTCCTGTTTCTGCACATCTCCACCAACACTTAACTATTTTCCAATCTTTTGATAATGGTATCTCATTGCAGCTTTGGTTTGCATTTCGTGAGGCCAGGAGTAAGGGAAGGGATGGGTACCATTAGTTATATCCCAAAGGACTATTAACCCTGGGGTGAGCCACAGAGATGAGCTGGAGGTACCCTCTGAAAGGCAGACTTGGGCCAGCTCCTCTTTCATTTTGATCGTACACTGCCCATATCCTCTCCTGGAACCCCCACGTATACTCTCCCACGTGGTCAGTTCTTTGAAACTATGTGAGACTGTTTTCCCTTTGCAAGAGGTGGGTTCTATGGAAGGAAGCAGTGCCTAAACCCAGACACATGTCTATTTGTCTCTCAAATTATTGATGTATTTGATAAACTGAAAGAATGTCAAGTGTGGCTGTACGAGAGACCAAGACCAGAGAAAAAAGAGAGCAGTTGGAGTTGAAGCTGGCAAGGTACAGTCAGGAGGCCATGTTGAAGATTCTGGGCGTTTGGAAGTGTCAGTTTTACAGCATAAACCATTGTGTGGATGTGGTGTCACATACTGGAAGGAAACAAGATTAGGGGTTAAATGCATGAGTCGACTTCAGGAAGATCTCTAGTAGGCAGCTGAATGTAGGGACCTGGAGTGTAAAGAAGAGGACAGTCGGGCTAGAGTTCACGTGAGGTTTTTACATCCATGAATGGTTAAACTGGCTTGGGAAACCATGTACCCAAGTGAGCCCACGATTCAACCCCAAGAACCAGAGCATGCTAGAGTTCGGCTGCAGGGCACAGTGAAAGCAAGACACTAGCGTTGGGTCTATAAAGAAAATATTCTACCCAGGGCGGAGTGAGAAGCATAAAGCATCCCTGTCTAATGGGGACATACTCTCGGTGGGCCCGTAGCTCCGTAGTGCCAAGATGGGAGCAGGGCCGGTGAGGTAGCGCCTTCCCAGCGTGGTCAGTGTCTGGTGTCCCCGGCAGTCGACCCGCGATACCCTTCCACTAGTGGGGAAGGCAAGATCTCAGACCTCCCTGCCCTTCGGCAAACGCTCCTGCCCCTACCGCCCAGTTTCTGCAGAGACCGCCTAGCGACGGGACGGGTGGTGGCAGTGGGCCGGGAGCCGTACCCAAACTTCCCGCTGGAACCAGACGGACGCCCACAACAAGCGCCTCTCACAGAACGCAACGGACACCACCTGAACGGGTTGCCGGAAGTGAGATCGCAGCTTCCGGTTCCCAGCCGAGGGGGCCGCTCCAGCTCCATATCTCTTTGGCATTTCCGCCGGCCGGCGCTGCAAATGGCGGAGCTGGAGCCTCAAGGCCTCTCTGAGGCTGCGCGGAGTTTCCCGGGAGTCCCTTACTTCCCACCCCCAGCTTCCAGCAGCGACTCACGCAGGGCAGTCGCGGCTCTGGGGAGCCGCTGTGCGGTAAAGACGGGAAGGGAAGTCGACGACTAGAGCTCTGTGTTCCCAGAATAACGCCGGAATTTTTCTAAGCTCCAGGGAACAAGTGATCTTACGTCTCCATTTATTTAAACGGCACTTCATTCATTCACTCATCCAAACCACAATCTGCCAATCTTAACAGTTCCAATTGACTATACTAAAAACCACTTAAGTATTTAAAAAAAAAAAATCATCTCCATCATTATAAAAAAGCATTTATTAAATGCCAAATTGCACCTTAGGCAGACATAATCACTGCCCATAAGGCTGATGAGAATGTATCAAAACCAGTAAAATTGAAACATTAAACAAACAAGTACAAATACAACCAACGTACTCCTGAGGTATTCAAAGGAACTAGAGATTGCAGCATATTCTCAGGTTTACACAAATGTGTATTTATATCCTATCCTCCTCCTCCCTTGATTGTTAATGCAAGGAAGGAAGTCAATTATAAAACAACACCCGTAGTCAGATGGGGCTTGATCAATAGCTCTCCCAATCTACAAACCCACAACAGATACCTATACACACTCCTCACGAAGATCGTTGTTAGTTAGCTTTTTAAATATGGTTAAAGCAAAGGCACTTTCCTACTGAAACCCCACAGGGACAAGTTTAACGAACAATTCAAAATATTCTTTACTCATATAAACTATAACCTCTTAGGCCTCCCCTGGTACATATATGAGACTAATTGGCAGACTACTTTGAGTAAAATCTGCAGTTTCAGATTATGACAGTTTATGCTGCAGTTAGCAGAACACTGCCACTTAATTATATGGAATCCCAGGAGTCAAAAGCTCAAAAATGGCATTTACTATGACATGTCATTTTTAAACTTCCTGAATTCTTGGGTTAGTCATTTTCTACATTAGGGGAGATATGAATAGATTGCTATTTGCAGCAACAAAGCTCTAAACAACTTTTTTGAGTGGAACTGGGACTCCCTTGAGAATAACTAAATTCCTTAATTTTTTAAATTACAAAACATAAATTGCCGACATCTGAATTCTGTTAGAATAATGTTGTTTCATCATTCATGACTGTAACAGACCCTGATATTCCGGCAATCACATTAAGGACTTGTCAGGTACACGTTTTCATCATTGCTTCAACAATGAAACCAAAAAAACTTGAGTCAGTATCTTTGGCACAAAGCTTTCACTTCTAATGGTATGTCAAAGTCCAAGCTGCAAACTATAGTTCACCAACTGTTCAAAGAAATAAAACTCTTACATTTAGTTTTTCATCCCTGTATTAGCTTTTATCCAGTATTTGTTAATCACGCCTAACACAGGAGGTTAATAATCTCTCTGAATGAAAGTCAATCTTGTGGAATCTACGTTCATCAGTTGGCACTGCAAATAGAAGGCTGAAAATGCCATCATCATAAAAACAGCATGGCTCTCACTGGCTGCCACGACCTCTTTGTTCAACTCCCTGGGCTCAGAGTAGCTTGAATTACATGCAGCAAACGTGTTTTGGAGCAAGTGTACAAAAAGGCAATATCTGAAAATATGCCTATTTCACAGTAACTGACACTCAGGGTTTTGTTTTTTTCCATTTTTCTACACACTAATCTTTAACATTACACCAAAAAGTCATTTTGATTACACCCATGTGGACGATAGTGTTTCTGTAAAAATACTGTTTTTCTTATCTCTTACTGAGTTTTGGCATAATCTCCCAAAATCTGGAGAAGAAAGAAAACTGCAAAACCTGAGAGGTTTACTGTAAAGAAAGCCTCATCTGGAAAAGTGAATGTCCATTTCGAGGTGTGGAACAGATTCATGGCATAAATTCTCACCTTCCCTATACTTTCTTAGGAGCAAAGGATGGCAAAAACTTGCTGCCGTCAAGTCGATTCTGACTCATAGTGACCCTACAGGACAGAACAGAACTGCTCCAGAGGGTTTCCAAGGCTGCAATCTTTATGGAAGCAGACTGCCACATCTTTCTCCCTCAGAGCGGCTGGTGGGTTTGAACTGCCGACATTTTGGTTAGCAGCTAAGCACTTAACCACTGCACCACCAGGGCTCCTATAAAAGGATGACAGCTTCCCTCTTTTTATGTCAGCCCCATTCTGTCCAAGTGCCTTCTAAGAGACTCTTAACTGCTTTCTGCAGCTCTTCTAGTGGGGGCCTCTTTCTAACTTTATTCACCACCTTGAAACTCTATTCAGTCTTAAACTCAAATATCAGCACTCCTAATATGTGCTACTAGGCATTGTGTCAGCTTCTCCCATTCTGGACAGAAGCAGGAACGCGGGGAGGTAGTGCTCTTATTGATGTTTAACAAGGATTATTATACCGCAGAGTTGGCTTATAAGAAAATTAACTAGAGACTCTAGCTTTCTACACTGTTTTAAGCCTCTCAGACCAAGAGAACCTGCTGAAAAAAAAATTGAAGACAAGCTCACTTTTTTATTCAAGATCCTGAAGTCCCAGCTAACTGGTGTCCTTTATCCTAAGAGCAGAGACACCAGAAACAAAGATGCAAATCTGACCTAGACATACAGGGCACATGGTCTCAACTGTGTGTCTGCGAACAAGGAACAAGACAACAGTGTCAAAAGAGGAGCATGGAGTGGGCAAGCTGAGTTAGGGCTGTCGGCTTCAGTTCTCCTCACTCACCAACACTACCTTCCTGCCTCTAACCAGTGTTAACAGCTCAGTGCAGTAGCCAGCACCCGGGACATTCAATTCAGCCGAGCGCTTTAACCATTGTGCCACCAGAGCTCCTTTCACTAAACGATAGTTACTATTATTTGTAGCAAGATATGTAATATGCTTTGGTAGAGATTTGGAGGCAAATTACCTCATAAGGGTCATCTTAGACAAAAGCAGGCCCTACCACCACCTCTAAATAGCTTTCCCCTGATCCAAGCACCAGAAGTCTGTCGTTGGACTGCCAAAACACCTCGCAAACACCCGAATCACAAAGGCCAGTACTTGCTGTTGGCATCAGATCTGAAAATGGGAATTCCATGGATATTAACAACCATCAAGAAACTAACTAGTTCACTCGTTTGGGAATTTTTTACAGGGGAAAAAAAGCTTCTAAAATTCTCTAGAAACTCACATGTAAAACAATACTAATTTTATACAGATATTTCATTTAAATAGTTATAGCAAAAAAAGTATAAAACATATAAAAATAAATTCTCCCCCTTGCAAACCTTATTAAACATGTAAACAAAATTAAAAGAACTCTAACAATAACCTTCATTTTAAAGAAAACTGAGTTAAAAAAAGTTCATAAAAACAGAATTTGAACAGTGACCGAGACAGAATCCTGGATTCACTGTTTTTTCAGTAATAAAACAGAAATAATACTGCCTAAATCGGGGACGCGGTGAGAATCAAATGATACAGTACATGAAATAAGTGTAAAGTGCGTAGCACAGTGCCTGGCACATAAAGGGTAGTGGTTTCCCACCAAAAAGATACTGAAAAGCACAAGCGTTATGAAAATTTTGTTATTATTTACATGGTACTTTTCATGTGGGTTTGCTGATGAATAATGAGACGCATTTCCAACCTGAAACATTTCTCACACACGGTACATTTTAAGGGTTTCTCTCCTGTGTGGCTTTTCTGGTGGCATGCCAGTTCTGATTCCAAAATAAAAGGTTTTGCACATGTTTTGCATGTATGGGGCTTTTCCCTCATATGAACCTTCTGATGGGAAATAAGGTCAGAGAAACAATGAAAGGTTGCCTCACACTCAGGACATTTTAAGGGTTTACATTTCGAGAATGACAGTAAATTTTCCCCATAATCACTGAATCGTTCAGAGTCCTCTTCCTTCTCTTCCTCTTGTTGAGGGGGCAAGGCTTGAGGGCTGCCCGAAGCTCTTCACACTCTGAGTATGCTGGTGGTGTGTTGCCAACGTGTGCGTTTTCTCATGGAAAGGAAGATTTGTTTTCTGACCAAAATGTTTCTCATAGTCAGCATATTCATAGGCTGTTTCTGCAGTGTGGGTTTTCTGGTGCTGTTGCAATCCTGGGAACCACATAAAACCTTTACCACATATCCCACACGTATAGGGTTTCTCCTTTACATGGACGCTCATGTGCCAAGACAAATGTGAGTGCTGATGGAAGCTGGTGCTGCACTTGGCACATTTATGCGGCTTTTCCCTGGTGTGGATTCTCCTGTGTATCCTCAGGTTGGCTCTATGACTGAAGATTTTCCCACAGTCACCACATTTATACTCTTTTTCTGCTGAATGAATTTTCGGGTGCAAAACAAGGTATGAGTTATCACTGAAGCTTTGGTCACATTCAGGAGACTTATGTACATTTTCAGCTTCTTCCGAGGGAAACTCAAGAATTTCAGAAAGTGCTCTGGTTCCTAAACACTGAGAAAGTTCTACTAACGGAGTATGGTTTTCAATGGTAACTAGAAGGCTTATGAATCTTTTTTCACAAGTGGAAGTTCCACCTGATATTTTCCCTCCAGGGCTTCCAACTTCATCTTCAGAGGATTCTTCTGAATAATAGATAAGGGGCACAGCAGTGGAGTACTTTTCTAGGGCAAGTTCTTCAAGCTCTATAGATTCTAGACTTAACTGCTGATTAATCTCAGTCTTGTCTTCCTCTCCTGTTGATAAAAACAAAACAAAGCAAAACACAGACAACACCCTCAAGTGGTACTGAGGAAACAACAAGCTAAGGCAGTTACACAGAGCACCAGGAAACTATAGGTGAACTAACCTATAACCCAGACATTGATAACATACTAAATAGGGGGCAGTACACTCTACCAGCTTCCCAAAGGATCTAGTTCTAGGTGAGCCTCCAAGTGGAGGGAGCAAAGAAGAACTACAACTAAGTCAGAGTCCAACAGGATAGGTACTAAGGAAAATCTTTCGGCAGACATATCTAGAGGTGGGGTCTTCCAGTTAAGTCTATTTAGGACTCAACAGTTTTTTTAATCTTTTAAGCTACCTCAAGCGACAGCTGAGCAGAAAAATATAACTCATAATTAAGAGAAAAATCAATCAATAGAAACAGACCCAGAAATGACACAAATGATAAAATTAGTAGAACCAAAAAACCCAGGGCCATCGAGTCAATTTTGACTCACAGCAACCCTATAGGACTGAGTAGAACTGCCCCACAGGGTTTTCCAAGGCTTTAAATCTTTACTGAAGCAGACTGCCACATCTTTCTCCCATGGAGCAGCTGGTGGGTTTGAACCACAGAACTTTCAGTTAGCTGAGTATTTAATCACTGTACCACCAGGCCTCCTTAAAATTAGTAGAAGGGTGTTAAAACAGATATAAAAATACTCCACATGTTCAAGAAGGTAGAGAGAAAAATGAATATAATTAAGAAAGAAATGGGAAAATATAAAATATAAGTTATGGGACAGCTTAGATACTCAACCCTAGTCAGGGATAAAATATGCTCAGACATAGGAATACTTCTGCATATAGTTCCTCTTAGGTGAGAAAGGCACAGTACCATCTTAAGATTAAATCAATGGCCCTGAGACACTCTTTAAACACTGAACCAAAACGATCTCGAGATCACCTTTTATCAAAATAGCAGAGTGGCACACAAAATAAAGGATATTCCTCATAATAATGTTGGCTCTACTAAGAAACTATCTATATGAGACCCAGAGGTGAACATTTACTCCAAAGCAAAAATGAGAAGATAAGCAGGCAGAGAAACTAGAGTACTGGAAATGGAACGACCAGAACACAATTAAAGAGAATGTTGACAAATTGTGGAAAATGTAACTAATGTCACTGAACAATTTGTGTGGAAACTGTCAAATGGGAACTTAACTTGCTGTGTAAGCTTTCACCAAAAATACAATAAAATATTATTAAAAAAAAAAAAAGCAAGATGAAATCAATTTCCAATTTTTAGCAAATAATAGTAATCTATACTAATGAGGTTTCCCAAATAAAATTGTGAATGGACTATAACAAATATTTGGGAAGATTACCAGGCACTACTATGTCTCATGTAAAATCACAGTAACTGTACTAGACTGGATTTTGGTTTTTAAAAATCATCTCATACTTTGAAACTTGCTGTCTCATGAAAGTTCTTATCATAGCCATATAAATCATCCAGGAATAGGTCCCACTTCCCCAAACCAACATGTGGACAAGCCATGAAATCCTAATCCTAGAACTGACCAAAGTTCCAAAACTGCAGGAAAAAACAATTGCCTTACCTAGCCAGGCCACATCACCGAAACACTCCTGTGTGATACCTTTGCTGAGGGACCTCTGGGCAGGGTGCAGACTCACACACTCCTCTTGAGAAAAATACACAGCCAGATCCTCAAACAGCATTGATCCCTGGAACACATGAGATCCCATCTTGGTACAAGAGGCCTAAGGGCCAGGCCCCACTTGGTGTAGGAGGACTGAGAAAAACTAGAAATGTCAGATGAAAAGGTGAAAAGGCCTTAGGGTAAAAAGTTTCTGAGTGCTGGAGATGGAGTAAAAATGGGGCCTAAGGAGTGGAGCCCTGGTGGTACAGTGGTTAAGAGCTTGGCTGCTAAACAAAAGGTCAGCAGTTCGAATCCACCAGCCATTACTTGGAAACCCTGTAGAGCAGTTCTACTCTGTCCTATAGTGTCACTATGAGTCAGAACCAACTCGATGGCACATAACAACAACTAAAGGAGTGCGAGTTGAGAACAAGAGTGAAAACGGACATAAATTTTGATGGAGTGGTATAAGCGCCAGGACAGTAAACTCTGAATGGTATAGTGTCTTCTGGGAGAGAAAAGGTAGGGAACAACTCCTGGGGAGGGAAACCATTAAGTAAGGATGTTCTAAGGGAAAGGGAAGACTAAGCAGCCCAGGAAAAATCATGAAAGGGATAGGGGTTCCAGGCTTCTCTCAAAACACCTTGCCCTTTGCTGTTCCTGCTTTCTTCCCATGACATTCATTGCTAAGCCCCCTGAAGCACGCCATTCAGGCCTGCTCCATCTTCCCTAAGTTTACCAGTCTATAAATCAACAGGAGAACTTCGATGTGCTTAAGAAACACCTAGGGTATCTGGGGTTTGTTGTTGTTTTTAATTTGACAGGTGAAGCCTAAAAAACTGTCATTTTGAGAAGTATTCCAGAAAGAAACTTTGTTTTAGACTCCTCCAAAGCGCCCTGCTCCCATCTAGTGGTCTGAGAGATTTGGATAAACCATTTCTTCTATGTGCCTGGTCTAGAAACAAAGACAGTTTCCCATCACCACAGGTATGCCTAGCCCGCTTCCAAAAGAGAACAAGCAGAGGCCAGAAAGTTGCCACCAGAATTTGAGCGGGAAAAGGGACCTCGCATCACCTGGGCCGCGGTAGTAGAGAGCGCGGACGCCATCTGGAGGGTAGGGGGTGGTCTTCTTCAAGTCGCGACAGGGACCTCGGGACAAAGCTGGGAGGGGAGAGAATAGTCCTGAGCGGGGCCAATTCGGCCACAGAGCTCCTCCACGCACCCCTAGGTTCCCTGGCTTCCCCAAACCTCCTTAAGATCTGCGCCGACTGCGCCTTTTCTCGAGAGACCCCAATTCTCCCTGCCAGCCGGCCCCTACTTACCGCTCCGGGACTAATGGCCTTAGAAAGCCTCGCCCTATCCGGGCAGAAGCAGCAGAAAGCGACGCCCAACAGAGACCGCAGAACCAGAACCGCGGCCACAGAGAGGCTCCCACGACCCCATACCCACCCACGCCAAAGCGACCGGGAAAGCCGGCAGAAGCCGGCCGTTTCCAGGATTATACGCTATCCTGCTCTGTGATTGGCCTGCGTGACTCCGAGGGGGCAGTCCTTCTTGTGTGTTAACCAATCGAACACCTTAAAGGAGGCCCAATGGCCCACCGGGCATTCTAGGAGATGTAGTTTTTCCCTACGTTTCTACAAGCATTTCCGGTTCCGCTGGCTGAGTCTCCTCGGTGAGCTCAGTGTCTGCTAACTCGCTGAAAAAAAGCGTTAGGGTGACCACCGGAGGGGCGTAATGTTTCCGAGAGGAAGGAAAGCCAGAAGAGAGGGAGATTCCGAAACCCGAAAGAGAGTCGATAACGAAATGTGGGTTCGGTCGGCAGTGGCCTGTGAGCCTGAAAACTTGGGTTCGGCCGAGGTGAGGTGAAAGAGGGGCCGGGGGTGTCCTTGGCCTAGCCTTGGACTTGAGCAGTCCACTGTGTCTTTGGTGGATTGTCGGGCCGTGGGATGTAAAGGAGTGCCTCCGCGTTTTTCACAGTTCAGAGCGGCGCAGTCTCGGCTGCTACTCTGCAACCTAGAAATATCCTAGGGACCTGTGCCCCGCGGCTGTACCCCATCCGATCCAGATCTCGCTCTGAGCCACAGGGGACCTCAAGCGGGACTGTTTACTTTACGAGAAGTTGTGTGCCTCCTCATACCTCACATGACCTGCCCTAGTGCCAGATATTTTCTGCTTTACTGAGACTGCCGCGGTGCGGAGATTTGGAATTAGAAAATTGTGCTCCTTCCCACTAATTGCTTGGGTCATCTTGGCCAATTTACATCTTTGCTTTCTTCCGCTGCAGAGAACTCAGAATGCCTCTCCTGGCCTTCTCAGAGGGTACTTTTAAAGATTATAAGATAATATAAGTGAAAGAAATTGTCAGTTTACAAAGGTGTTTGTTTAAGGAAAACAAGGATAATGGTACCTTAATAGAAAATTCTGAGTAACCGTCTCAATATTTGTTATCTTAGTGCCAGGCACATGCCTGTATCTACAGTGTTGCTTAATGAATGGTTGTATGGTTATTAAAACAATATTATTATCAGAGTTAACAAATTGAGTAGTGGGATTTGGTGGATTATTAAATAGGATAGTTTCAGCTGCAGATAACATAAAACTCAACAAAAAGATGTTCAAAGATAGAACAGTTACAGGTTGGTTAATTCAGTGGTTCAATGACACCGTGTTGTTGTAGTTGTTAGGTGCCTCGTTAGGTGCCCTGCGTACAACAGAGTGAAACACTGCCTAGTCCTGTACCATCCTCACATTCATTGCTATGTTTGAGCCAATTGTTGCAGCCACTGTGTCAATCCATGTCCTTAAGGGTCTTCTTTTTCGCTGACCCTCTACTTTACGAAGCATGATGTCCTTCTCCAGGGACTGGTTCCTTCTGATAACACATCCAAAGTACATGAGAGGAAGTCTCGCCAGCCTCGCTCTGCCATACCTTAGTATATTAGTGAAGGTGACAATGAAGCTAGATAATACATGCAGACACGTTGTCAAGCTAAGAAGAGTGCTTTTTTCCAAGCTTGTCTTTATTAAGGAAGAAAACTTTTCCCCAGACCCTCAAGCATAGGTCCCTCAGATTTCATTGTCCAGGATTGTATCATGTACCCATCCTAAACCAATCATTTTCAAGAGTAAAAAGATTACCATAATTGGTTAAGGCCTATTATGGTGCACCCTCTGGCACGGTGGAAGGGCCCAGCCTCTCCTGGCCATCTGTGTGCACAAAACAAGAGCTCTGTTTGGGAGGAAAAAGAAACAGAATAAATGTCAGATAGGTACCCAACAGTATCTGCCACAAGTGATATCTGCTGACAGCTACTAAGAGCAAGGCCTTGTGGGAATGGGTCACAAAAGAGGTTCACTTAGGGCATGGGGATCCCAGGAGAAAGGTGCTGAAAGGTCAAGTGGAAGAATGATAGGGACAAACTTCCCTACAGGCTCGACCAGTGCAAAGCATATATATTGAGAAGAGCTCACAACCTGCTACATGCAGGCTTAAACCAAAGGCATGTTCATCACAGAGTCACAATGCCGCTCAAGTAGTCATCTTCCCTTCTCCCTTCCTTCATGCTTATATTTAATGGTGTTGTTTTTTCAGGGATGTCTCATTTTTGGCTCAGACTCTCCTAATCTGAATTTTACATGGCCTTTTTCTTTGAACCCTGTTCCATTATTACAAAGAGATAAACACAGTTTCCCATGACTAGAAATGAAGCTTATGGTGTTAACTCAATGGATAACCAGAAAGACGATTATCTCTGAAATGAGAGGGGAAACAAAATCTTCCCTAGACCTTCTAGGACCTAGCTACAAAAAAATAAACCAGTAGACCAAGAAAGAGGCAGTTCGGAATCTTACTAAAAGTAAAGAGATGAGATGCAAAGTCTAAGATAGACCAAGATTGAAAGAATAAGACACAGAATTATTTGTAATAGAGAAAAATTGGAAATGACCTAATGTCTAAGTATTTTTCCTCCTCCTCAGGATGAAATATTATTGCATCCATTTAAGATAATATTTATAAGGAATTTTTAATAACATGGGAAAATGCTTCCATTATGATGTTGAAAAGAAGATACAAAATTGTACATAAAACACCATCAGGATTATTAAAATGCATTGAAAAGAGTAGTAAGGAAATGTACTGATGTTGAGTGATTGTCTTTGGGTGATGAGATAGGATCATTTTTTCTTTATACTTTTCTGTATTTTTCCCATTTGTTACAGGGAATATATGTTACTTTCATAATTAGCAGAGTAATTAAGCCAGGGTTCTGGAGTGAGACTGCCTGGGTTGAAATTGCTTCTAACAGCTTAATAGCTGTGACATCTTGGATTAATTATTTAATCTCTTGGATTAATTATTTAACCTCTCTAAGTCTCAGTCTCCTTATCTGCAAAATAAGAATAATGATGGCAACCACCTTATGGAAATTTAGGAATGATTAAATAAGATAATACATGTTGAACACTACTTAGCACACAGGAAGTGCTTAGAAAGTGTTAGCTTTATGATTGAAAAAGTGTTTGAATATAATTATTATATGTTAGTGCTTTAACAATCAGATACGTCAATGTAATCCTCATATAGGTTCCTATAATCAGGCATTTACCAAGAACTTGGAAGAAGGGAATAAGGCTGTCTTTTGAGAGTTAAACTAGAAAAATGGAGACAAGATCAAGGGTCAACAGAAATAAGTAACCTTAAGGATAGCATGTGTTATTGGTCTGCACAAGAAAAGCGGGACCTGGAAAGTTAGTCAAGTTATGATTTACAGATCTGAAAAGGAATGAGTTTACAGAGGAGTCTAGTCTGCATGGAACCAAGAAAAAGAAGAATCAGTCCAAGAGGCCAGCACTGCCAAGACAAGGAACACTGGGCTTGTGGGACAGACATTCCTGACACTAGAGAAGGGTCTGCTGTGTAAAAATCTCCCTTAAGGCTCTCTGCCTCCCTTTCCTCTGATACCTTGCTTACTAAGAACTTTCTGGTTAATGTTCTGGCTTCCCAGGAACCCTGAAATTTGAAGGGCGTGTACTGGAGCAGGGATATGAGAATTCCAATCATTGTAACTATAAACAAGTAAGCAAGCATTTAGGTTTAAGCCAGGGCTTCAAACTGGTTCATTCCAGTTGGAACCTCTGCTGAGAATTTGCATTTCCACCCCCATGTATACTGAATCAGAATCTACATTTTTAACAAGATCCCAAGTGATTCTTATGTATAACTTCCTGGGAACTTGTTAGAAATGCAGACATCTAAGCATGAGTCTAAGCATCAGTCTCTTGTAAGTCTGATTGGTAAGCCCAGTCTCAAGGTACAGTGACAATATTAGTGGAAAACCATACCGTCCAATGAACAGCCTGACCCTCTGAAACCATGTAGCTACATGACATGACTATCCTGTACCACCTCTGTCTTGGTTCTAATTGTAGCAAGCATTATCATCCTTGGTGATCCAAATTATATACTTTCATCATTTTACACCAAGGGAAATTTCTTTGGAAGCACAATATTTCCAGTTGTACTAGCTTTGATTCATGCAGATATGAATAAACCCTTCAGAACCATGAGTGGGAATAATCCACTCCACCTCATGCCAGTCTCATGGAATCTCTTTGCTCTGCTGGGAGTGCTCCCAGTGGGGTCCAGAATCCTCTCAAGCAGAGCAGATGCTGGCCAATAAGCTGTCTACAGAGCCTGCCATGAAGTGCCTTGTTCAGTATCTGTTTCTAGGACGCTGTGAAAAAATGCTTTAAGAAACTCAGCTGTCCTCCTGGGTAAGTCAGAAAAGTTGTGATCCAAGGGAAGGCATCTTGTCTTTAGTGAGGAACCAGTTTGTTTGTTTCTTGAGTTTCATACTTCGTGATGGGCACTCAGGGCTGCCACCGGGGAGGGAAGCTTTATTCTACACGATATAGAGGCCTTGAGTGGATATGTCATTGTCTGTGAAATGGAGACAATACCTGTCTTTCGAGGTTGTTGGGGAAGTAAATGGGAAAACACTGGAAGGACTAAATAATACAGTGTTTAGCACATAGCAGACACGTAGCGTTTATTAGTTCACTCACATTCCACTCCAGAAGTTCTACAGCCCTTTGTACACGCCTCTTGTAATTCTTATCAGACTATGTTGTAATTACACATCTCAAAGAAAGAGTCTGTGTCTCTTCATCACTGTACCCACAGCTCCTGGTACAGGGCCTCACTCTCTTTAAGTGAGGGAAGAAGGAAAGGAAAGAATCCAATATTCAAGCTCGGCCACCATCTCACCCACATCCTTTTTCAATTTGCTTTTTATTTATCAAAATATCATTGCTTATCCATGTAAATAAGATCCCTAGAAGGATACCCAGAAACTGCCTGGAGAACTTGGGTACTCAGAGTCGAAGGGAAGCCTACTGTTCACCATATATCCTTTATTCTGCTTAAAAATTTTTACCATGGGCATGCGTTACTT